CTCCTCGATTTTGAGATGCTCCAGTCGAAGGTTGGGCCCATGGATAAGCAATGTAGAACTAGTAAACTTACAGTAATCCATCCTCAACGAACAGAGGCCCAAACAAGCCGACAGGATGAGATCTAGTGCACCGTCGACTAGAGTAGCTTTACTCAACCTCAAATTTCGGAGGATCATATTATTGATGATGATGCAAAATCTAGGATTCTGTAGGTCAGTAGAGTTAGCCATGCTGACAAAAGTATGGGTGCTATAGAGATCTTCATGGCTAACACGGAGAGAGAGAGAGAGAGAGAGAGAGAGAGAGAGAGAGAGAAGAGAGAAGAGAATTTTGAAGAAGGGAAACCAAGTCTTGGTTCCAAAATTAGATGCAATTTTCTTATAATTAAACTTTAGATTGTCTTTCAGAACAAGTAACCAAAATAATATTAATAATAAACAATGAAAATAATATTAAACCTTTTTTTTAATTAACTTTTACATAAATAATTTATTGTACCCAAATCATGTAAATACCCGTTTTGCATGTAAACATTATAATGACATTAGAATTACAACATTTGTTAATGATATTGAGTTAAAAAAAAAAAAAGTGTTAGATATATTTAAGAGAACCGTCTAATAAAAAAATTGTAAATTATATAAAGAAATTCTAAAATCTACATGAGTTTTAGATTTTTAGAGAATGTTTAGTATCCTTTGATTACGAATTAAATCATCATTTTCTATGATTCTAGACATTCAAATAACTTTTCATAATCATATTTAAAAATATGGCATACGGATAATATTGCCCTACCCACGATAGACACATGTTAATATGTCTATCGCTTTTGTGGCATGTACACATTGGTGATGTTAATATGTTAAAAAGAATACATCACCAATGAGTGTGCATGCCACATAAGCCGTGGACATATTAACATGTGCCCACCATGGCTAGGTAAGCATTACTGTATGGCATAGTAGCAAAAGATTAGTGTAAAATATAAAAAATATAAAAGAAAGGCATTATACGTATTATTCATATAAAAAAAAAAAGTGATTATGAGTATTATTTATACATTATTCTTGAATTATATTTATGAAAATTGATGACAGAAGATACAGGTTAATTGATATATATATAGAGACAAAGAGACAAAGAAAGACTGTGTTTGTGTCTTTCAATTAACCATAATAGTAATTTCAATGATATTTTCTTGTATTGAATAAATATTACCTGTTAAATTTAAAAAGTTACAAAATTAAATAAAAATGACTTAAAATTTTATTATAAGTATTTTTCAAGTATTAATTAAACTTATAGATAATGATATTATGTTTATAGCTATCAAAAAGTAATAATGTCATAAATAATAATAAAAATCTACTTTAACCTAATTTTAGGTTGTTTTCTCCTAATAGGCATTATTACTCTCCTACCTGCTCAAAAAACCCATCATAAGTCTTGCCCTCCACCACCATATGCAGGTTTAAATCTTCAAGCACCTCATAAAGCTCACCCACATCCGAGTCGAGAGCTTTTCCCGCCGAAAATGTGCGAACCTTCTTCTTCACCTCGATCCAGCTCTGCCCGGGCACTTTCTTCAGACCCCTCGTTCGAGCCCCCATCCTCACCTTGGCCGACTCGTCCCACATACCGCTCGACGCATACAAATTCGAAAGCAACATATATCCACCTGTCCCCACGCGGCCGTGACCAAAATACCGAGAAACAGTCTTTTTTGCAAAATCCATGTTTCTATGCAATTTGCAAGAATTCAACAAAGCTCCCCAAACGGGTGCATTTGGCTCCATCGGCATGCTTCTCAAGATTTCACCTGCTTCCTGGAGAAGCCCGGCCCGCCCGAGAAGGTCGACCATGCAAGAATAGTGCTCCACTTTGGGCTCCATTCGAAATTTTCTTGCCATCAAATTGAAAAGCCTTTTACCTTCGGAAACAAGGCCCGAGTGGCTGCATGCA